TTCATCGAGCCCAACGCCGGCTCCCGAGTGAGCAGAAGGGCGCTCGGGGCAGGAAACAGAAGGCGGTAGACGCGCGATGGAAGCCTTCTAGCGGGCCTGGAGGGCGTGTACGAAGGGTGTGGCCGTTGTCATTGTCACCCTTCGTCGTTGTGGCTGTCACCGTCCCCCCCTGTGACGATGGCGAAGGGCAAAGACGGAACGGGAGCGCCAGAGACGACGACCTGATGCCAACGCAACGAAAGCGACCCTGATCCGAGGACCGGCCGTGTGACCAGAAGCCTGTGCAGTAAAGTGTGCTCGAGCTGACCCAGCGGCGAGGCAGCTTCAGGCCAGAACAAGCTGATGAGAAACTGCCCGACATGAAGTGGATTCGGAGATTTAGAAGATGGAAGCCGGGAAGGCACAGAGAGAGGGAGAAAGAGTATCCATGGATCGCCAGCAAGGCCACCACACCAGGGGAAGGCAAGGGGAACCACCAGCCCAGGGCCAGGGTACCTTACTCCAGGTCTCTAGAGTACGTACAAATGTGCCTTGTGTACGTACCGAGACACCCCTGACAGGAGGTTGAAACGGGACCCAAAATAGCGTCAAAGCTTGGGCAGCGCACTTTTAAGCTCGTCGTGTGGGTTTCCGACGCAGCGGGTAGGCAGCCCACCACCTCTGGCCATTCACCTTCACCTCATCACCACCACCAACCATCACCGTCATCGTTCTTCTCCTCGACAGGGAACCTCACTCTAGGATTTCAAGGTGGCCTGGGTAAGGTAGGCATGGCATGGCATGGCATGCTTATTTGTGTGCACTGCTCTGCATGCCTTGCCCCTTTCTCTCTCGTTTTCGCCTTGCCAGACAGAACATGAAGAGACATACTACTGCATACATGCTATGAGTGTAGCCATAGAGAGAGGCAGACATCGCAACCTATGCAGCACACCCTTTCGCCTCTCTGCCAATTCACCTCGCCCATCCACTGACTTCCAAGCAGCGACATCGTGGCTGCCATACATCGCCTTACCTGACATTAGCTTACATGCTGCCGTCGTGCCTTACCTTACCTTGCCTTAGTCCACCTGCTAACTAACTACTTGGTATTGCCCGCCCGCCTCCCTCCCTCCCGACTAATGCAGGCACAATGCTGCCAAATGTCATCCCGCAACCTTATCCTCTGCCTAGTCACCCTTTCCAATCCTCTTCCAAATTACCTTTGCTTTACACGCTTACTACCCTCTTGCTTTTCCTCGCCTTCAGACACGGGCTGCTTTATGCCCCGTCCGTCGACCCGAAATGCTTGACCCATTATCCAATTCGAGCCAGGGCCAGCTTACCCGTTGCGGTAATCTCGCTTTCGTCTCTTCCGCGTCTAGTGGCTTCTTCACTTTATGCCTCCCCAAGTTCCTCTCAACAATATCAAATCCCAACATCCATCTTTCGTTTCGAGCGCAGCTTCTGACCGCCTGCTACCTTACCCTGACCCATTACTTCTTGCCTGCAAGCAAGCCCTCCATGCTCAGGCCCTGCACTCGGGTGGCTGACATGACATGTGCCTCCCGTTCGCTCTGACATGCCACCGGCAAGGTCTTGCGAAGTACACACGCACTCTCGGGCCTCTTCTGTGACAAGCCTGGTACACCTGGGCAGCAAGTCTGCCACCCAAAACCAAATTTCCAGAGACGGGATGTCTGTCTCGACCACTCATCCATCGTGACGTCGGCTTCTTTTCTCACACCCGCGACACAGCTCTCACACGCCCTCCGTTCATGGTCTCAACTTGCCCATACAACCGCCAGCTGAATCTCGCAACTCGTTCAAACCGGTGCAAACGTTTCCCCGACCGCTTGCATATCATACTGCAAATCTATCGCGATCCGTCCGATTCATCCAAATCTGTTTCTCCTGTCTCTGCGCGGATCGACTTCCTGCCGTCCCCCCAAGGAGCTCCCGGACTTGCCCATCACACCCTCCATGATGGCACCGACCTGGGATATCGTGGTCCCCTACGAAATCGCCAAGGCCCTCACCTTGTCTTTCCAACACTCAAAGTCATCTCACCTCGTTCACAGAGCAGGGCGTTACGTCCTGCCGTGTCTGTCACCAAGGTCCTGGCCCAATCACCGGGATAGCCCGCGTTCCCCCCAAGGGGTCTGACTAGGAGGGCTGTGCAGAAAGATCAAGACAATTCCAATTCCTTACTTCTGCCAAATAACCTACACAGTGGTCCCCGGTCGACATCCATCTTTTTTGCTTCCAACCCTATTCGCCCCAAACGCTGCCACGTCTGGCCTTCGTCCCGTACAACCACCGGCCTCCCGGTGGTGGAAACCTGTCGACGAATGCCCGCGTCCTCAAGACGAGATGGCCGGTTTCCCACCCATTGGACTGGCGCGTTGGACACATGACATCCCTACCGGTCTTGCCAGCCGTTTGATGATTTGATCGACTCTTGCGCAAATCATGTTGCTCAGTTCAAGGTGTCCACTCGCAGCTTCTTGCAGCCGGTAATCCTTCACCTTCAAATATGGTTTTGTCGCTTGTCATCCGGCGGCAATCCGACCAAACAAACAGCAACTTTGCACATTTTCGGCTTTGAACTGAACTTGACAGGCGTCATTTGTCTTTTTTCCCTTCGGAGAAATACCGAGCCTGATGCCTCTCCGGACAGACCGAATCGGCCGGGCGAATTATCGTTGATCACAACTCCTCCGCCCGATTATGCTTAACTGTCCCCAGACATGACAAAAACAAAGCGGGCTGGACGTTCGCCGCCATAGCGGAGCAATTTGTCAACTTGAATTCCAGGAAGACCGGTTCAGATGACCTTTCGAGTAATGGGCAAGCTCGTGCAACGTTCATTGATCGGCCATTCCTCGGATGAGCTCGCTTGCGGTAGGAGTCTTGCCATCCGGCGGTTTCTGAGACGATGACTGGATGGGTGGTTCCTGGACAGCCGCTACTATTTCTGGTTCCGCTCCCTGATATGGTCTAGACTGTTACCTACTCGCAGACGTGCCGTTGGGATTGGTTTCCTCTGAACCGTCCATGTCACCTCGACTATCTCCATCTGTACTCATTCCTTTTCATCCATGACTGCCGTTTGGTCTGATACTGCAAAAATTTGAAGATGAGGAAGGGAAACCTCGTTGCCGGTGTTTGCAACGGTGGTTTTGCGTTTCTTCCCCTTCGTCTTGACTGTTGTCCATTCGATTGCATACCTAGGCTCCAATCCGACTCAGGGGTCTGCGGGAGTTCGTCGGGTAGTTTCCTGTTGCCTTTTTCAGCTGGCGCCTAGCGACCGAATACGAACACGCCAACCCAGCAGTCTCCTGACGAGAGCGTCTAGTCTAACTCTGAAGTTGAGAGCGGACGCCAAGTCCTGCTCTCCAGAAGCAAAACTACCACCCTTTCCTGCAATCTGCGACTCTTCTTGGATCATCTACGGGAGTTTACATCTCGCTATTTGTGAAGTAAGAGCATTTGAGCATCGTCGTGGTCAATCTCACGAAAGCGAGAACAGGAGGACTATGCTTTTTTCCGCGGCTTCCACGCAAAAGTGCAACAAGGTTCACTCTAGTGAAACGAACGCTTGTTATCCCACTCTGATCGGAGAAGCGACTCTAGATCCCCAGGCGGTCCTCCGGTTTCATCCCGTTGTGCCTCGGGATGATCATCAACTGACCAGACGCCAAAACCGGACCAGCAAACCGACCTGGTAGAGCCGGGGGCCCAGTTGCGCCCGTTCTCAAGGCGGCTGCGGCTGTTGGACCTATATGAAATTGACTCTGCAGACATTGGTATCTGTCTGGAGACGGTCTGGCCCGAAGATGGACTGACGTGAGTACAGTACCCGTTGGTGACTGGAATACATTTGCACCGCAGTCGGCGCAATTTTTACCGCGGTCTTCGGGTGTCCCTGACTCCATATGGCGGTGCGGATGTTGTCTTGCTTTTCTCACATGTTGTGCAATGAACAAACCTGTTCCTAGCGTATTTTTTCTATCAACATCTACTGGTCGTCCATCGCGAAGTGGCTTCCGCTTCACACTCTTCCTTGCCTCGTATTTCGAGTCTTCGACGGCCCATTTGGCGCTAATCCACGCAGTTCAGTTCATGGAAAGCCACTAAACGACTGTCTCTATTGATGACGATGCTAGGCAAACGATAGTGGACTGTGGCATGCGAGCATCTTGACATATGTGAGGCCATACGATCGATCCTCCGGCTCATCTCCAAACTGCAAAATATCAAGAGATGGGTTCAGAGGTTGAATGCGAGGGAAAGTAGAGGTAAGTAACCCGCTTAAGGCTTAACTTGCATCCCTTGACGAGCAGATGCGTATAGCACGGTGATGCTACAATGAAGAACCCCTGGGCAGATTAAATCGACCATTGCTAACGTATTTCAATAGCAGGACATAGCTTGTGTTCCAAACTGTTCATTCAATATTGTGCCCATGGCTCTGACCCATCGACCCTGCTTCCTCTGTGCTGCAAGGCAACTGCAATGTCTGGGGAGCCTATTCGCAGAGCGCCATTCGTCCAGTCCCCGTAGTCCCACACAATGGAACGATTCGATTCGAGGTATTCGTGAGCCTGCAATAAGACATTCAGCCCTGCGGTAGGGTGCCGCTGAGATGCAGTACAAGGGGCCCGTTTACACAATGGAGCATCTTGGGAAGCGGTGCCATGCTCAACGCCAAGAATACTCGTCGGCGGAGAATGCTCCCAATTTGGACGCTCCTCGCGACCTCGCCTGGACCTGTGTGGCCTCTGGACCAATAAAGGTGCCGTGATTCGTTAGCAAGACGGGAATCCCTTCAACGGGTCCGGCCCGGGGCCACGGACAGGGAAGGTGAGGTTGCATCCGGTTGCAGCTAGCTTCAATTAGCGCCAGAGGCAGAAAGGGAGATCAGAAGCAGGTGCGTTCCCATCGCATCCGCCGTCATTCCTGAGAGTGTTTTCTCTCAAACACACCCGGGAACCAGCATTGCGCGAGGCCCACTCATCATGGCGCCCCTACTGATAGGATCAGTCTCATACTTTGGAACCGCAGTGGTTCTTTTGCTCGCTTACACAGCGCGCATCGCTATCCATCGCGTGTTTCTCTCCCCGCTAGCGAAGTTTCCGGGTCCCAAATTAGCAGCTCTCTCGACGTGGTACGAGTTCTACCATGATGTCGTCCAACCCGGCAAGTTTACGACTCATATTCAAGACCTTCATCGGAGATATGGTATGTGCATACCTTCAAGGTCGCTGTTGATAGTGCGAGAATGACAAGCTGGCTGGTCTGGCCACATCTTTTCCATGCAATCCTGCCACAGTCCATTAGCAGGACTATCCCGCTGGTAGGAAAGCTCCTGACGTATATTAGGGCCAATCATTCGTATCTCGCCCACAGAACTGCATATAGATGATCCGTCGTATTTCGACTCTCTCTATACTCGCGCCGGTCGTCGTGACAAGTATGACTTTATGGCTGGCCGATTCGGGTTCTCAACCGACAGCTTCTCGACATCTCCACACGAGTTGCATAGAATTCGCCGCAAAGCGCTAAGCCCGTTCTTCGCGGCAAGCAAAATCGTCGAATTCGAATCCGTCATCAAGACGAAAGTCGATGATCTCTGCCGCAAACTTGCCGCGTCTGCCGATGGTGAGGTTGTCAAGCTTGACCGTGCTTTCGTTGCCTTGACTACAGACACCATCACTCAGTACGCTTTTGGCGAGTCGTATGACCATCTCGACTCGCCCGGCTTCGAGAAGACGCTCTACGAGGCTTTCCGTACAATTCACAGCGTGGGCGCTCTTGGGCAACAATTTCCCTCTGTTTTCAAAATATTGAATGCGCTCCCGCTCTGGTTCGTGAAGGCAACACAGCCGGAAATCATGCCCATAGTCACCTTGAGACAAGTGAGTTCGGGTATCGTTTCGTGAGGAACCGGCTCTGACAGCATACTGCAGAGTATGAGAGCTCGAATCGCCGAGATCCGTGCCGGAGGCAATGGCACAGAAACAAAGACAGACCATGCCAACATCTTTAACGAAGTCATCCACAGTGACCTACCAGACTCAGAAAAGACGGACACTCGGCTTGGAGACGAGGCGCAGCTTATGGTCGCAGCAGGCCTTATAACGACTTCTTGGGCTCTCGCGGTAGCCGCATTCCACTTTGCGAGTAAGCCAGACATCCCGGCACGGTTGCGGAAAGAGCTTGCCGCCGCTGGATGGCCCAGTGGATGGCAGAAACTCGAGAAGTTGCCCTTCTTGAATGCCTGTGTACTAGAATCAGTCCGACTCTCCCACGGCGTTGTGACACGAGATCCTCGACGCGCGCCTGATACGGAGTTGAAATATGGTAATTGGACCATTCCAAGAAACACACCGGTCTCAATGACTACTGTTGACGTCTTGATGAACACTGCATTGTTTCCCGAACCGACGTCATTCATCCCTGAACGCTGGATTGAGAAGCCGGAGCTCCAGCGATACTTTGTGGCATTTGGTAAAGGGTCACGGCAATGTTTGGGCATCAAGTAAGCAAAGCTCCTCATGTGAACCAATAACAACTAACTGTATTATCAGCTTGGCGCTGGCGGAACTTCACATTACGATCGCCCAAGTCTTTGCGCGGTTTGACTTTGAGCTGTTCGAGACAGAGGAATCAGACGTGCGAATGGCCCACGCATGGCTCGCCCCTTATCCGAAACTGGACTCGAAGGGTGTCAGGGTGAGACTACGGGAGTATGTAATCTAGTCACCCGCAAGACCAAGTTGATCAATATGGTGAAGATGACGAATCCGAGTAGTGCTACAAGGGCAAGTCGAGGCCGACGATTTGTCACAACACGCGCGTAGTCTCGTGGTATTAAGAAGGGACAAAAGAGTATATTTTCCGTCCAATATTGATGACTGTTTCTACCGAACTTTCTGCATGACGGGGTGAATATTAAGTCTAGCTGCTTTAGAAGATGTCAGAACCTACGTCACGCTCAATATTATCTGAATTTTCCTTAGATTACTCACAAGGTAGCTCCTGAAGCATCAGAGCAGACAGCCTTTCCAGAAACTGCCACACACTGCCCCTGGCCATTGTCGAGAAGTCTTGTGCCGTTCGGGAGATTGGGATCAACGTCTGTGCCAGCAAGGTCTTGAAGGGCTTTGCGGTCGGCTCTTTGTTGCTCTCTGCTCCCGCCGCGCTGAGGAGCAGCAGCTGCAAGACCGAGGATGGTAGTAAGAACGAGAGAAACAGAGACCTTCATTTTGATAAGTTCTGAATAGACAAGAAAGAATACTGCAAAGAACAGAATATGAGATTGAAGAGAATCGGCCGGCCGAGAACTTAGAATAGGCTGATATATCACACAGATGGAATGCACAGAGACAAGAACTGAAGGCTTTCTGGTTGTTCGACGCTTATTTATACGAGAGCTGATAGCTCCCGGAAAGAACCATCAGTATATGTGACTTTGTTTAAGATGGGATGGCATTCGGCTTTGGCCGTTGTCATGAACTTGACAGGAGGCCCCTGCCTCTCCGCGGCCAAGTTGACTCCTGTCACAGACCCGAGACAACCCCACAGGTAACGCACCTTAACAGAGGTCGTATGACAAGTAAAACTCGGCTGCGAACCCAATTAGGCTTCAAAAGATTGTTCAAAAACCAAAATCAGCTACGAGGTTTTGTCACTGTCAAAAATCCTCGCTCGCCTTATGATCGACGCTTCGTGTTTGACGCCGCAGCGAGGAGTGTCACAGACGATCAATGATCTCCAGATAATTAGGCGGGGGATCAATTGGATCAAGCTTGAATTTAAGATACAACTTATCGAGTGGATTTCAGCTTCTAGAACGTTTCAAATCCGGGGTAGCCTGATCTCTGGGCCCCTCTCTCCAATCGACATTCGATAATGCCCTGACATTCGCAACATGCCGTCGCGAATCCCTGAGAGCGTCCGTGTCTTTGCAAAGTACCAAAACCCCACCGTCACAAGGCGAAAATGCCTGCTTTCAACCCGGAATTTAAATCTCTGGCAGAATCTCTGTAATGTTGCTCTTGGCCAGCTTGTCGGTCTCGTCCAAGACTTGAATCATTCGTTTCTTCGCAAGGGCATTGCGTTCTTCCTCAAGTTTGGCGTTGCCCATATGCTCCATAGCGAGGTAAATGACGGATTCCATGAGGCGCATCGCCAAAGGGCCAGCCATTCCAACGTCATAGAATGCAGGCGTCTCATTCACTTCTAAAAGCCACGCAGTGCCGTCCGTGTCAACGAGGAAATCGACGGCGAAGAGCTCAAAACACTTATCCACAGTTGTGAACTTATCCGCCATGGTATGAGCTGCACCGCGAAATAGCTCAGCCGAAGTGTGACAAATCTGCTCAAAGACGCTTGCTTTCCAGTCACCAGGCAGCAAGTCGTCTGGAGCCGACCAGAAGTCTCTCATCGATTGCTTGTTTATAAAAACATCTTCGTCTTGAAGGGCAGTGTTGGTCAGAGATGACTTGAGACTGGGGTTCAGCCAAGGGGGCTCATAATCCTCCCCGGCCAACAATGCGAGCATCTCCTTGAAGACGTAGACCTTGAGACGGCCCATTGCAAGGACGTAGGCTCGAGCATGCCATTTTCTCTTTTCCATTGGCGGGATGTGAACAATGTATCTTTGAGCCACGAACTCGCGCATCTGGGCCGAGGGAATTCTGCCTCCCTCTTTGAAGACATACTGCGGCTTCGGGGCTCTTTGAATCCCGTCCTTCTGCTCCTTTAAGACCAACTCTCCAGTTGCCGTTACGAGTGCGTCCAAGGTGTCGAGCCCAGGCGTCGACAGGGTTGGGTAAAAGCCTTCAGAGTTGTCGTGGATGATGTCGTCTTCTGCCTTGCCATTGGCTTCAAGCATGGCCTGGTAGCTGAGATCGCTCTCGTCATCTTCGTCGATCTCATATTCCGCGAGCTCTAGATGGCTGGCAAGCTCCTCCATCGTACTAAACAGTCGAATACCAGCACCGCAGTCAACAAGTGCCGGTTTCAAGATCCACCACTCACGCTCTGAGGCTGGCTTGTCCGCGTTGTCTTCAAGTGAGCACAAAAGCGTGAGGTCGTCCGCCGCAGTCAAGGCATCGTCAACATATTCGGCATAGTCAAGAGACAACCGGACTGTCAACGGGACGCACTTTTTTAGAATGCTTTCCGGTCTCTTGGCCGTCCAGAAGTCAACCACTCTGGCGAGATAGTCCTTCCGAGCGAGCGCATCGCTGTTCGGGTAAGCGTTGATGAGAGCCTTTTCAGCAGTGTTCAGAGCGGCGAAGTTGCGGTTGAGTGCCCACCCATCGCAGAATTGAAAGACTGTTGAAGCGTCCGAAGGAAAGTCCTCAAAGTCGTCGATGAAGATGGCATCGGGCACATGGTTTCGGATGAAAGACTTTATGTGCTCCCCCAGCCAGGGGGCTGCCGGCTGGATATAAACGTGCATTTCGTGAGAGAATGGCGTCGCAGTAAGGTTGACTCTTTTCAACGAGAGTAGCTGTCTATCTCAGGTGGTAGTGATGCTTGCCGGGGGATTGTGTAATGAACGGCTCGAGATTCCATATGACTGGCTGGCGATTGTGGTATCAAAGGCAACTCTCGAAGCTGCGAACAATGGTCAATCATCAGGGCAAAAGAGGCTTTGGTCTGAGATGGAGGAATCACCGAATAAATATAATTTGAGCAATCACTCTTCCAATTGAAAGCCCGGCTAGGGCGGTTTGACAATCGAGAGGATTGTTTGCTGTTGGAGTGGCCAAGATGTGTGCCAAGCTGAATTGCTGGATACCTATTACCTAACAAACCTGTAATCTTCACATTCATTATTTCCATTAGACATTTCTCACCAAATAAACGTAATTCATATCGAGAATACATCGAATGACTTGACCACAATTTCGATCACAACGCGATGACCTGCCATTCTGCTGACTTGACCCTTGAAGTTGTCGTTGCATTCAGACCCAGAAGATGCAGAATCCGATGCATATGCGCGTTTGAAGTCAAGGAAGCAAATCAATTACGTTTTAATAACCAATTCGCGATTTATTAGATCAAATTACCGGCACCAACGATGAGTTGGAATGTCAAGCTAAAGTGCTCTCTTCATGCACTAACGCTGCTTTTGCACTAAACGGCAATACTGCTGGGTCTAGAGGCCAGCATTTGCTGGATGGGTAGAGAAATCCGAACCCGAGGCCGGACATTGTCGGATTCATAAAGCATCGCCTCCTGTGCTCATTGAAGGTAGAGCAGGGTGACTTTCAGGGTTGAGCATCTGGCAGGGTCTGGCGGCCAATGGAGTGGCATGCGAAAGTAGGTAGTTGCCAGATTTCTATAGGGAAGGCATTGCTGCTTCTCATGCACAATCATGCGAATCGCATACGCTATGGCATGATGTGAACGAAATCAATTGAGTCACTCTCTGCGAGGTTCTGCTGCCGCCAAAACTTCGCGCCCAGAACACTGAAATCGGGTTCGGATGTCCAGTAGCGCGTCGTGACGGAAGAGCTGATGCCAGGGCAACGCTGCAGGCTGGACCAGGCAAAGTTGGGCGGATAGCTGCCAATCGGGCGTCTGCCATCGCTTGGGAGCCGGTATTTTGGCACAGACATGCGCTAGAAATTGGCTGATTGACAGGTCCTCTGTTAAAGCTATACAAGCTCCGGCTGCTTCACCGAGGTGAGACCAGCAGAGGCTTGGTGGGGCCACGGTGAGACGTCACACCTGGACAGGTGCCCGACTAACAGCGACCTGGGGATCCTTGACCGCTAACTTGCAAGGCAGTTGGGGCAGCGGCTGGGCTGATCCCTCCACCGCCGTTTCTCCCCACCATCAACACAACAAATGCGATTCCTGCAATCGGCGTCAATTCAATGCGACACGCGCTTGCTAAAACCACCCACCCCCCTTTTTTCTTCGACGACTTCGGCCAAGACAAGATTCAACTTTGATCCCACGAAACCGCCTTCACGCAGCAAAATGTCGTCATGGCGACTCTGCCGCCCAACTCTCTGCTTGCCCGATCCCGGCAACCGCGCGCCGTCCCGTCAGCAAAGGCTTCGGGCGCTTCTGTGACCACCTCTGTAGCTCAGCCGCCCATTGCTACCTCCAATGTCAATCTGTTTCTCACCAATCTTCGTCTGCTCGACTTTTCTTCCTACCCTGATTGGCCCGACTTCGACGCCCAAACTTTCACAGTGCAGAAGAAGCGCATCCAGTGCGTAGAATGGACGCTTTACCAGCTCTTCGTGCTCTGGGACCCGGAAGAGGCGCGAAATGTACGTCCACAGCCGCCCTCCTTTGAACCTTACTGACCCTCCATGCTGCAGAAGCTTCAGCCCTTCTTCCCTCCTCGAGACCATGTCCAATCCTTGAATCTGCGTGCGGCCCTCTTACGAAGCCTCGAGCAGGCCAAAAAGACCGGAGTTCTTGGCCGCGATGCCGTCGTACGCAAGACAATGTTGGATGAGTGCAGGGGTGAACGGCTAGAAGAAGTCCTTGCTGTTTTTTCCTCGGCTGTTCTCAAAAAGATGGTTGCTGAAGTTGCCGAAGCTGAGGGAGAATTCCCTGCTGTTGCTCAACAACTGGCACTGGAAAACCGTGGATACAGCGCTGAACGCGCTGAGCTGGTGACACTGGCTCTTGCTCATAAGGTATCCATTAGACATGCGATGCGAAGAAAGGATGAAGCGAGGCAACAATACCGTGGCCTCGCCGAACTGCTGCATCTCAAGGAGCAGAACATTGCGCATCGGAAAGAGCAGATCAAGGTTGCACGAGAGCAGTCGAAACATAAAGACATTTCGGACGATGTGAAGCTGGATACCTGGAGAACGGTCCGCAACAACTGGGCTGGAAACGAACAGTGGATGGAGACCTTGCTTTACGGCGATGCAAATGCGCGAAAAGATGGCGTATTGAGTGCACCTTTCGATCGAGTTTGGAGGCGTCTGCAGTCCGGTCGCCTTGCCGAGCTGGAAGACCACGGGAAAGGTCTACTGGAGCAACTTGACGGCCGGGTGAAGACCCAAAAGGAGAGACTGGCGAAATGGCAGCATTTCCGACAAAACATGTTTGGCGACCAGCCACTAGCTCCTACTCCCTCGACTTCCCGTCCAGCAAAATCTAAACGAGGTATCGATCTCGGTTTCGACAAACACGAGAGCCTCCGCCTTGGACGAATGAGCCCAAGAAAGCAGCTTGCGAGAAGGACACCCCATTTGACCTCTGACTATGCTGATTTACTCGACGGATGCGAGAGGGATCTGGCCCAGGTGGGCGCTCAACCGGTGATCAACTTCACCGAGATGTTCGGGCCGCCACGATCCCATCGCCTAGGCCAACCAGAGCGGCCCGAAACAATTTCGGGCGCGAGGGAGAGTCTCGGGGAGGAAACAATCTCCGAGCTGAGCGAGCTGGAGGACGATGGCCACGTTTTGCAACATGCTCCGCTGCGGCCCTCGACACACGATGTAGCACCGCCATCACGACGCCTTGGGCGACCGTCTCTCCAGCTCTCGGAAGAGGCCAAACGGCATGCCGAGTTACCGCGGCCGCTTCCAAGCCCGCCAGTGCTCCCCCCGGACACACACGACGAGCTATCTATACCCCCACCGACTCCGCCATTACCAGAGGAGGATGAGGTCACCCAAAAGATTCCAAGCCGATCCCCTAGTCCTCTACCGTTAGCAGCGGAACAGCCAGTCATTTCCTTTGACAGTGAAGAAGACATACCTGAACCAGAACCCCCGAAATCACCCACACAGGAATTGGCAGACCAAATTCTTGACGACATAAACAATGCTTCTCCTTCTCCCGTCAAACGTCCGAAACCTAGACACACGTTATCTCTTGCGGAACGAACCAGGCTGTCCATGGCGCGGTCTTCACGTGGGGTACGGTATGATCCGGATGATGACGAGGATGAAACCTTGTCCTTGCGACCTCTATCAACACCCAGCAAACATAATGAAGACCTTACGATCAACATTACAGACGAAGACGATTTAATGTCTCGTACACGAAGGAGCATGGCAGGTTTTGAGGCTGCCCGCCAGAAGGCACAGCTGGATCGACAAAGGTCACTGAAGAAATCCCGTGCGCGGGCAAGGACGGAAGGCAGCCAATTCCCTGTCGTTGAAGAGGAGACGATAGAATTGGACCCGGACGCGTCCATCCTCGCAGAAGAGTTGATGGCCAGGGAGGATATGGAGGCGGTTTTTAGGAGTCGGCCAAGGATTAAGACCAGCCCAGCTCCCTCGCCTTCAAGAAGACCTCTCGAGGCCGAAGATGTATAGTGACTTAGATATGTTTCATGACCCATACATAATACATTTGAGCTTCTGTATTGAGAAAGCTCTATGATTGCTAAATGTTGTACACTCCAAGGCTGCTTGGGCAGTTTCGTTTTTTCTCAACTCATGGACCATACCACTGCACAGCTTTCAAAATTTACCAGCCCTGGTTCGTCAGCTCCTGTACTCGGCGCACTGTCGCGACGAAACCCTCCTTATATCGCTTCACCGATCTCTCCCTCCTGAGCCTCTTGCGTCTCATTCCTGGACGCTCGTGAAACTTCTGCCCGTGCCAAAGGGACTTGATTCTGTTCCTCTTGGTTGAGACTTCGAGGGCCTTGATTGCGGCGGAAAAGTCGCGGGAGCCGGTGACGTGGATTGTGCGGCCTGTTTGCGGGCGAGTTCGTAGCTCCATCTCTTGCTGACCAGCGGCGTGGTGCTTCATCATGAAGTCGTCGGAGTCCATGGCGATGAGTTGAGAGATATCGAAGTTTGAGGAAGCGGCATCGTACGCGAAAGGAGTGTGGGGCTTCTTTTTAGCGGCTGCTGTCGGGGAGGATGATGTCGAGGAGGACGTCGTCGATGATTGGGGCTTCTCTGCGAGAGGACCTTTCACACCGAACAGAGATTCGTTGTTGAATAAAGTGCGGGATGTCGAGAAAGTACGTGGCTGTAGCCATAGAGGCTGGCTGGCCAGCTGTGATGATCGTAGCGAAGTGTTGCGGAGAGAGCATGAGGCGAGCAGTCTCCTGCTCAAAACCCCGATTTCGGACGCCCTGAAGAAGTAAGGATTAGTGAATATTTGATCAATGGTAGAGTCCGTAGCCCTACATGGCGATTAGACGCTCTTCCAAGCGGGAGAGCACACTGCTGGAGGCTGGCGTGGGTTGCGCAGAATGGCAAAATGTCACCACCGTTGAGCTCGACCGCGAAGATTTCCTCGAAAATGCGAAAGTTGCTTAGGTACGTACCGGACCTCCCGCAGTGCCCGCTGCCGGGCAGGAGCTCACTCGGATAAGCGTGTCGCCGAGCTCCCGCCTACTCCACATATCAGGCCAATCAGAGACCAGTCGCGAGACCAAGCCTGCTTCGCGTTGGCCTCGCGCCGAATTTTGAATGTTCGACCCAGAGCTTCTGGAGCTCAAGTCGTCAGTGTCGTCCTCGTCTTCTTTTTAGTGCTCGACCTGACCCCCTCCCCGCCTTCACCATATTCTGCGCCTGCCGCCGACCTTACGGATAGATCAACTCCTAGCAATCTCTACCTGCAGCCGGCATCGATCGCGACACGAGGTAGCAGCGACTATTACCATACCCTCGAATTACTTGCGGATTGCGGATTGACACACCGACCGAGCAACATTCAATTAGCAACCACCCGCATTGCATCGTCATGTCGTACAACCCGTACGGAGGTATGCATTCGTAGTTCTCGGATTCACAATTGCACTCACTCAATCTCTCAGCAGGAAACCCTTATGGGCCTCCCCCGAGCTATGGCGGCTTCCCGGGATCCAACGCCGCGCCCGGCATGGCTCCTCCACCTGGTCTAGGTTTGGGATACCAAGCTGCGCCATCGAGTTCCTACGCTGACCGATATTCAGGCCCTCCGCCAGGCATGTCTTCCGCTCCAGGAATGGCACCACCTCCCGGTGTCCAGCAATCCAACAACGCACAAGCTAACCGACAAAGCGGCCTGCCGCCTAACTTCCAAGCTCCCGCGAACCTCCCCAACATCAACTTCAGCGCACCCGTTATCCGTCTGGGAACCATAGGCGCTAAGCCAGGTGCCCCTGAATCGGGAAGGAAGGACAGCAATACCCCAAGCGGTGGAAGACAAGGACTTGGTATGGACCGTGGCTTTGACCAATCAAGAGCCGCTGCTCGGGAGCACATGCAATCGCTCGTCCCTCCGACCAGCGAAGAGAAGTTGCGCACATTATTTGTTCACGAGATTCCAGACGGAGTTGGTGGCGACGAAGGTATCGAGAGAATCTTAAATGCCGTGGGCAAGCTCCGGAGATGGGATGCCGCAACATCAGTTCTGTCTGATGGAAAAGGCGCCAAATTTGGCTTTGCTCAATACGAAGACGCCGACTCCTTTTCTACGGCCGCCGATCTTTTGCAGGACACCGAAGTTCCTCTCAAACGCCAGAGCCCAGCGGAAGCGCCATCTGCAGACGACGACAAGTTCGAAGGAGTCGAGATGGTCAAGCTCCAGGTTACGGTCGACCCTAACTCTCTCAAGTACATCGAATCCTACAGAGAGGGTAGAGGTGACGACAGTGGTGCCGATTCGAGGACTCAGGCTGCGAAAGACGCCCTGCGGCACGTAATTCGAGACCTCGTTTACCCAAAGACTGCAACAAACATCGATGGCGAAGGTGATGTTGCTATGGGCAACTCCGGTGAAAACGTCGAGGTTGTCAATATTCCTCTTGCTCAAGATGACGAACTTGCAGACATTCCCGCGGAGATGCGGGAGGTTGTGGCCGCAGAGATCGCCGCGTTCCGAGAGCGTAGCAACAAGCGGGACATGGAGCGTCTGAAGCGCGAAGAAGAGATGGAAGAGATGGAACGAAACCGCAGTGGCCCTTCCCGTCCATCAAGACTGGACTCACCACCTCCATCCAACTCGAATAACATTCCTGTCGGGCCCCGTGGTGTCCCCAATGCTCCTTCTGGCCCCAGGGGTCAGAATGGCACCCGGACAACTTCTTTCGTCAACGGTGGCATCTCCAACACCGAGTTCTCAATTAACCGCGAGGACGAGGACACGGACGCTGATGACGAAGAGCTGTATCAGCGAGAACTGTCTAAGCAAAAATCCGAAGACGAAAAGATGTATCTCGAAGCCGAGCGCAAGTGGGTCAACAGAGAGCGGTCTAGAGCTGCAGCTCTGGAGCGTGAAAAGGAGCGCGAGCTCCAAGAAGAGGAGAGCTTGGAGAGGCGGGTGCAGGAGCAACTCGAAAGAGAGAAAGCTTGGGATGACGAGAGAGAAGCGTCTCGGAAGAACCATCTCTACTACCGTGACCATGCTGCATGGGTAAAAAAACGGCAGATCGAGAGAGCCGACGAACAGGCAAGAGACGAGGCGGATCGGAAAGCGGAGGAGGACGAGCAACGCAGAGAAGCTGCCGATATGGAGAAGGCGCGTGGTATGGCCGACTCATTCCTCGATCAGCAGGCCCAGGAGATGGAGCAACGCCAGCAAGCTACTGTTTCCGCTCCCGCGCCCTTCAAGTTGTCTCTCGGCGCTGCTGCTCAACGTTCTCAAGCCCAGCGTGCCGCACCGCAGCGGCGCACTGTTGCTGAAGTGGAAGGCCTACTTGACGATGAAGAGCAAGACAGCACGGCCAAGAGGCAACTGATTCCCATCCAGTTCGAACCCACTACTGCGGCGGATAAGATGACAGAGGAAGAGATCAGCAAGGCGGTTCGTGCACTTGCACAGGAGATCCCTTCGGAGAAGGAGGGATTGTGGAACTGGGCGGTGCAGTGGGACTACTTGGACGATGCGATCATCCGCGAGAAGCTTCGACCGTTTGTCGAGAAGAAGATTGTTGAATATCTTGGTGTCCAGGAAGAGCTTTTGGTCGAGGTGGTGGAGGAGCACCTACGGAAGCACGCCAAACCTTCAGATCTGGTCGAAGAGCTTGTCCCAGTACGTGCATTAACCCCATGTTTCCAGGATATTTCAGCTAACTTCACCGACAGGCTTTGGATGATGAGGCGGAGGATATGGTCAAGAAGCTGTGGCGTATGGTCATCTTCTTCACGGAGAGCGAGAAGCGGGGATACCCAGCATAGTGTAGGCAAACCCGGCATGATGTATTATACCAACCTTTGGGGGGCAGCATTAAACAGAATCGGTCCTGCTTCTCTACTCTTGAGCAGATTCGGTAATGATCGGGCGTGTCGACCTCTGAGACTAAAAGTGAGCGAAGACACTGTGGCTGCGCAAGACGCATTCGCAGAGATCATGGAGCTTACTCTGCTCATCCAGATGCATTTCTTTTCGCTGCTGGATCAACAACAGTCCAGGCCAGATTTCTTCGTCTGGAGACGAGATAGGGCAACTGACTAGGTATTCTTTACCGACACCGCCATTGACGAGTGCAGATGCCTACTAGTACACTTTGAGTTTGCAATGTCTGCCCGCACTTCGTTTCGACCATTGCTGCTCACTTTTCATCCCGTAGCGACGAATTGCATCTCAAATGTGCAATCAAAGACCAAACCGCCTCGACCGTTGGGCTGTTGTCAATGGTGCGGATGTCCTCGGCTCCATTCGGAGTAGGCGACGGAAGTGAGAGATTCGTATCACCGTATCGTGGGGGAGCCATTCCATAGCGGGCCTTTGGCTGGTTAGCCTGAAGATCACTCAGCCCACGAAGCAGGGGTTTTTCCTTCTCCTCGGCTTACGGCACTGGCAGAAAGCTTCGAATCCATTATCCGTTATTCAATGATGTCACAAGGTGAAGACACGGGGTTGTCAGCTCAGCTGAGTGCATCGGTTAGTGCAGCAAGCGCGATTTCGAAGTGCTTTGCGCTGCGGTTTTTACTTTCGTCGCAAGACCCTTAGGACGAACGGACATTTCGGCCGATAAGATGAATGGGTTTGTCTTTGAGTTTCTCTCTCTTGTCAGAAATCCACACACCGGGATCGTCGCTCTTAATGCATCCTACGAATAATATCCGTCAATGGATACAGTGGACTGTGGGACCACCCCTTTGAGTCGTGTTGGGTCGCTTCATTTCACTTTAGTTTCGTCTATCATCATGTCTACCACGGTTGATCCCGACTCTTTTCTGGCCCACGAACCATGCCGAGCGTTCCCAAGATCTCCCAAGGCTTTTGGCTGGCCAATTGCGATTGAGTCGGAATCAGTCTCAGCCCACTCCGCACCAAAGTATGGTGTGCGCTAGTCACCGCCCAAGTCTTCCCCAAGACCCCAAGAGTCCCCAAGACATCCCGAAAAAGCAGTGGCCCCACCGGCCCAAGCATCCGATACGAGGTCAGTTGGTGTTGCTGACTGCCTTGACCCTGGTTGAAGCCATACACAAGTGTCAGAATAGACGGCTTCGGGGTAGGCGGGATTCAATTGCCGTGGGAGGCCCAGCCTCGTATAATTAGCTTTTCCTGCCAATCCTTCCACTTGCCATGCCGCCATGCCGCCAAGGGGAGCTTCCCTGTTGTCGCGAACCATTCCTTTGGGCTGAAAATGTGAGATAAAGCTCGCCGCCCGCATATGCTGTCGCACGAGAGTGCGCTGTCTGTCGTGCTAAAGAACCTCGGAGAAGCGATATGTCCACCCCGCCGTGACGAACATGTTCATCCCATCGCTGAGACGTGCCGTCGCCGTCTCATTGACGTGCGCCATCTTCGTCACTGTCCTCTTGACAAGCCATCAGTTGAGCTGGGAACAAGACATCTTCGGCTCGTCTTATCTTGCGGGGAACGAGAGCCAACATACTCCTGCTGCGAAGTCGCAGGAGAGCAGCTCGAAATTCGCATACGCGCAATATGCGACGGACTTGGATTATCTATGCAACGCTGTATGTTTTCAACATGTACTCACTCTTATGAGCGCAACCAGAGCTGACGATGGCAGGTCATCAACTTCAATCGCCTTCAGAAATTCGGCGCCGAAAATGACATGGTCTTGATTTTCCCCTCTTCATGGACGGAAGGGAAAAAGGCGGAGGCAAAGGCAATCCGCAGCATTCGTTCCAACCATCCCCGAGTCATTTTGAGGCCATTCGACTACGTCCGGATCTCCAAAACGAAAGCGAGCGCAACATGGGCCGATAGTCTCAACAAGTTTCATGCCTTCGACCTTACCGAGTACGAGCGAGTCATGATATTCGACTCTGACAGCCAAGTACTGAACAACATGGACTCTTTCTTTCAGTCGCCCAGGGCCAGCGTGGCCGTCCCCCAGGCATACTGGTTGAACGAACCCGATGTGCCTGCAGCTGAGCGGGTGCTCAGCTCGCATGTCATGCTTATCGAGCCGAATAAGACAACCCACGATAGACTCATCGAAGAATCGCTGTCGTCGGGAAAGCTGGATATGGACTTGGTGAATATTATGTTCAAGGATACGGCAAGCATACTGCCTCACCGTCGACTGGCCCTTCTGACGGGAGAGTTTCGCGATGATGACCATCAGAAGTACCTTGGCCAGCACGATGACAATTGGGATCCGGTGGAAGAGGTGTCAAAGTCTTACCTGGTGCATTTCAGCGACTGGCCAATGCCAAAGCCTTGGAGACCGCGCACGAAGAAACAGTGGGACGCTGCTCTCCCCGGTTGCTCAGAGAATGAGGACACGACTGGTCATCCGCAATGCGCCAACCAAGTCGTGTGGAGTGGGTTCTATGAGGACTACGATTCCGACAGAAAGCGATACTGCAAGCGCTGGGGATGAAAGAGCTCGGAATAACTCGGCGAATGAGTATATTCATACACTGTTCAGCCTACGGCATGTCCCTACGAGACCGGCATGTTCCGTTGTAGCTTGCGAGCCGCCGCATCGACGACCTCCGCCAGAGAAACGGGTCCTCCGATGCGACCGCAAGCATCATTCCACGCTCCTTCTTCGCCCCGGAGGATGTGCGCATAGCGAATCACATTCGTCAATCATGCTGAGTGCTGATGGATCACAGCCTCTTGTATGGCATAGGGGCAATATCCTCCTGCCACTTGTTGCTCCGACGAATGCCTGCGGGCAACAACAACTTCTGTGCGTCGGATCTGGTTGTATCAGAACAGTCGTAACAATGAGCGCGCACGTTGGGAGGATTTTGACCGACGCAGCCCTCTATGAGGCCCAAGGGCAAGGGGCAGAGACTCAGCCAAATGGATGAACTGCTTCGTGGGGGATTTGCAGAGACTGCCGTAGCCATGCCGGCATTCGTGTATGTTGCGGATATCGCTCTTGGTCTTGACTGGCTCGGCGGAAAGGCGGTGTTGAGATTACACTGCCGAGGGAAGCACGCCATATGCGTGTGGATGTTGCCAAAGCCTGGGAAAGCGCCGTCAGGGTCCAATCCGATGAGTGCTCTAGGAATGATGGAGCTATCGAAAACCGTCCTACTTTAGACCCAAAATATTAAAGAGTTGGAGCTCTCTAACAAGTTGTTGATTCTCGGTCACATTCAAAGCTAGACCAGCCACAGACACTTTCGGGAGTTCGCAGGGCAAGACGCCTCCCCATTATGATCATGTCTCTCAAATCTCTGACGATGTTGGCTGGTATGCTGTCGGTCAGCGCCGGCTCTTTTCTCCAATCAGATGGAGATCAAGTTCCTATTGTCTCTGATTCATCACGAAGGCCTAACATCGTTTTCATTCTGACTGACGATCAAGACCTGCACATGAACTCGCTGGATTATCTCCCCTTTATCAAGAAACATTTGATCGACCAAGGCACCCTATATAAGAGACACTTCTGTACGACAGCAGTTTGTTGTCCTTCAAGAGTGACTCTTTGGACGGGGAAAGCTGCGCACAATACCAATGTCACTGACATCTTTCCTCCGTACGGTGAGTGTTCACGAGCTAGTTAGTATTAATGGCGCCCGAGCTGATCTGAACCCAGGTGGATATCCCAAGTTCGTGGCCGAGGGCCACAACGAGAACTACCTACCCAAATTCCTCCAGGACGTGGGCTATAACACATACTACACTGGAAAACTGTTCAATGCTCATACCGTGGACAACTATAACACTCCCCACGCAGCTGGATGGACGGGATCCGATTTCTTGCTCGACCCATTCACTTATTCTTACCTCAACGCCACATTTCAACGGAACCAGGATCCTCCGGTGAGCTATGAGGGCGAATACAGTACGGATGTTCTGGCAGGCAAGGCTTTGGGCTTCCTCGACGACGCCGTGGCTGCGTCTGAGCCCTTCTTCCTGGGGATCGCTCCTGTTGCACCTCACTCAAACGTCCAATCCAATGTTATCAGCAATGGCAGCGCTCACGATCCGCATGGCATCGTGGCAACGCCACCGATTCCCGCCGAGAGGCATGCCCATCTTTTCCCCGATGCCATTGTCCCGCGAACGGACAACTTCAATCCTGAGAAGGTGTCTGGAGCCAACTGGGTTCGACAACAACCGCGACAAAGCGCCGAAAATGTCGCGTTCAATGATCATTTCTATCGTAACAGACTTCGAGCTTTGCAGGCGGTCGACGAGCTGGTCGATTCTGTGGTTTCCAAATTGGAAGAATATGGTATTCTCGAAGAGACATACATCTTTTATACCACTGATAATGGCTACCATATCGGACATCACCGTCTTCAACCCGGAAAGGAGTGCAGTTATGAAGAGGACATTAACATCCCTCTCATCGTCCGTGGCCCTCAAGTCCCGGAAGGCAAAGTCGCCGAAGTTGTGACAACACATCAAGACTTAGTGCCTACAATGATGGGCCTTGCGCAAGCACCTCTGCGTGCTGATTTCGATGGTCTAGCTATCCCCCTAACCGAGGAAGATTTTGGTGATGCTGAAAAGACGAGACATGAGCATGTCACAGTCGAGTATTGGGGCTTTGCGGCCTCCGAGGGTCCTTGGGGGTACTTTGGTCGGAATGAGTCGTTTGTATTCAACAATACTTACAAGGCTCTACGCGTGGTTTCAAAAGAATATAACCTTCATTACTCGGTATGGTGTAATAACGAGCATGAGCTATACGACCTCAATGTGAGTTATTCATAGTTCTTCTTGAGTCGGGGACTAACAAACTTGGTACAGACCGACCCGGGTCAACTGAACAATCTTTTGCATGAAGAATCCCAGGCATCATCGCTTCTTGGACTTCCAATTGAGAAGATTGTTTCTCGTCTGGACTCGTTATTGCTTGTAACAAAGTCTTGCAAAGGTTCCGTTTGCACACATCCTTGGCGCTCGCTGCACCCACAAGGCAACGTCGACACTCTGCGTGACGCACTTTCACCGCGATTCGACAGTTTCTATCAGCAACAACAAGTTCGAGTTGAGTATTCACGTTGCGAGATGGGCTATCTTGTAGACGCAGAAGGACCGCAGTTCGAGCGAGACGGCCTTGTATACTGGAAGGGACTCCATTGGGGTGAATGGGTCTAATAATCTGCGAGATCTCAACTGCCAAGTCATATATACCAAATGTAGCGTTTATAGTCCTTCGAGGAATGGCAAACGGCCACTGCTACACAAAAGAGGCTGGTCTGCTGCTTGTTACTTGACGCCTCCAAGCCTCTGCTGCTCTGCACACTGAATAGGCAGTTTCTCGATCTCCTTCTCGTTGGTTATTTAACATCTCTAGAACATCCGTAATGGTACATTAAATAGCAATGGAAGAGTTTGTCTTATGAAGTGGAAGGAAGTACGGACGGGCAATAGTGAAATCTCGTTTCTGCCTGTACGACGGCATGAAACATCACGAAGCCGTCAAAAGTGCGATAAAGCTAAAGAGATTCCATCATTCTGCGTGAGAGACGAAGTCAGGAATATTAGTAGTGAACTTGAATAGGCCCTCCGTTTCGGCGAGCTGTCAAGTGATTCAGTGAAGCCATAGACGTATGCTGGGTAGTCGAGAAACAAAGGGAATTCTCTCCTGTCTTACAGTGTGTACCTTTCCAGAATAGGTTTGGGGAGGAACTATTGCCATTGGAAGAGTTCGATTACATAAATCTACATTTTGTAAATAATTCTTTTGTGAATACTTATATGACTAAAGGGAACATAAGGACCCTTTTTTTTCCTCTACCCTAACCCAGGCTAGTCTCCTTAACTACTATATTATAACTTAGATAAGGGTAATAATAGTAATTAGCTCTTAGAACTATTCGCTATACTTCTTATCGAATATCCTATTAATCTCCCTTATATTATTCTTATTCTTTAGGTTCTTAGTAATCTTTTTAAATCTCTACTTAACTTAATAAAGAGTTTAGTTCTAAGGGTCTTCTAAGAACTTAATATATATTATAAAGAAGTATAGAGATATTATATTATTATTCTTAGTTATAAGGATATAACTAAGCTATTATTAAATATATAGTAAATTAGTCTTTTTTAGATATTTAATATTACTAGTAATAAGGGCTATATTAATTAAGTAGGGGGTATATATAAGATTTATCTTAGAAAGCTTTAAATTTAGACTATAGTATAATAGGGGGCTACTTCTACTAGCTTAGCTAGGCGGCTTAAAAATCCCCTTTATATACCCTATAGGTTAGCTATAGAGGTTACGCTATAACCCTCTATATATTTCCCCGTTAGAGTTATACGGTAGTCAACAAGGTACGCCTCCAGGCGGCAAACTGCGAAGAAGAAAAGTTAGAAGGGAAGAAAGATTACATGAATCTAGCCACTTTAAAACTCAACGGCCAGTGCCCGATGCAGCTCAACATACTGTTTCGCCTCAGCTGAAATGCAACAGAACTTCAGACGAGCCGCCCATCATCTGGCTATGGAGATGTGGGAGGCTTACTAGTCTGGTTCAATGAAACGTGGGCAGCCCGCACGCCCGTCATTGACCAACCCCACGCCCGTTTCATTCCCGTGTTGGTCAGTGTTTGATTCACACATGTCAGGCAAAGGGAATCGGGGGCAGGAAACAAAACGGACTCGGTGATCCGATCAAGCTGGCCATGGCTTCTGTTTGCCTCTCTCGCGACGCGAAGTTGGCCGATGCCATCGGGACCGCAACGGCAGCCGTCAATGTTGGGCAGAGTTTCAACAGCAAGTCAGCTGCACCGCTGAGTCATATGGACACATGTTTCCGAGATCCGGGTCCGATGAGAAGCAGCCACATTTTCCGTTGCACGGGCGAGATCCGCCGACGGAGGGGAAAGCTGACCCAGGAAAGACTTTTGCTACCAACCCATGGAGTAGCCCCTGCATGCGGCTGCAAGCCTTGGATTCTAGATTGTAGAACCAACAATAGTCTTGTCTTCTGCAGTACTGAATGTGGACCTCCTGCACCGAATAAACGCGTAGAGCCGGCCGGGGAATGACCGGGCTCCGCCGCCTTCCCGGTAGTGTGGGGGCCGAGGATGACCGAAGTTGCATGGCGGCAATGGCGCAATATGTCGCCATAGCAAGGACCCAGCCTGGATCCCCTTATCGGCAACTTTTCATCCTGGGCCAAGCATGATTCTTCAAATTCTTCTGACGGACATTGAGTCAACGGGACCGGGAGCTTGGGAAGGAGGTTATCGGAGTTTGTGGAAAGTCTGATTGGCCGACGTCATGGGGTCCCTGAGGATCTCAGCGGTCGCGGGTCGCACGTTTGCATAGATGCGCTGTCCCCCGGAATTCTGAAAAGGTTCATCCCAGCTGAGTCGAAGCCTGCGTCGCCGATGACACCTTGGTTTTCTTCGAATCGCGCCGGTGCTTGCGGCTCTTTCTCCCTTTTCTCACCTCCACAATCCTACTACACACGAGTGATCCATCAACATGGCTCGCCAAGAGACGTTACGTAGTAGAGGAGAAGAGACTGCGGGAGAGAGAGCAGTCGACGAGCGGTCGCCACTGTTGTCGCGAAATCGAAGAGAATCAAGTTCGTCAGGTGAGAGCTCTTTGACATCTTCATCGTCGAGCGGAGACTCGGACGGTCAATTCCTTCCATGGCATCTCACACCGTCGACAGAGGTCGATGAGGCGTACGTTGACGTTGAGCGTACCGCACCCGCTTGTGCCGATAATGATACCGAGACGAAATCCCAGGGCACGCCGGCCTCGGCTGTCATCAAGATCGTAGCGATCCTGCTGGTTGGGACATTTACCGCAAACGCCGATGGCTCTTTGGTTATGGCCACACATCCGACGATTGCTTCAGAATTCGACGACCTTGAAAATTCGAGTTGGCTGTTTGTGGCATTCGCGCTTGCTGGCGCGGCAACACAGACTTTGGTGGGTGTGCCCTGAAGACCGTGGCGGAGAAGTGACTAATAGAAGATCAGTATGGCAAGCTGAGTGACATCTATGGCCGCCGTGCCTTGCTAATGGTGGCATATTTGTTGTTTGCCGTTGGATGGTAAGACCCAAGATACTCTAACAAGAGAAAAATTGCGAGAAAGAAGCTGACAGTAAATCGTCAGTGCCGTGGTTGGTGTTGGTGGTACCATGTGGCAAGTTGTGGTCGGCCGGGTGGTCTCTGGATCTGGCGGCTCGTCATTGAACGTGCTTGGCTTGCTCCTCATCACAGGTTCGCTGTACTCGATGTTTTGAACAGTTCACGTGGCTAAATACAACAGATCTTGTGCCTCTGCGCGATGTTGCTGCCTGGCAAGCCGGACTCAACCTCGCTGCCACGGTTGGCCGTAGTCTCGGTGGTCCTCTCGGGGGTTGGCTTGCAGACACTATCGGCTGGCGCTGGTCATTCCTTGGGCAGGCTCCTATCTTTCTACTCGCCGTCGTGCTTTGCTGGCTCTTCCTTCCGAAGGGAATGCCTAGCTCCACACATCAAGTTGAAACGGAAGACTCAAAACCCGAGGATCCAAAGAAGAGCCCTCTCGCAAGAATCGACTTCCTGGGGGCCGGGCTGTTGGCCCTCTTTATCCTCGCGTTTCTGCTCCCTATAGAAATCGGCGGAACTAAAGTACCATGGAACCATCCCCTCATCTTCATCTTCTTTGGTGCTGCAATTGTCCTTGGTGGCCTTTTCGCAGCGACAGAGCAATGGTGGGCCAAGGAGCCCATCTTCCCACTGGAGATTCTGAAGCATCGTGACGTCGTACTTACCTACTTCATCACCGGTGCTCAGGTCGCGGCCCAACTCGGTCTCATGTTCTCCGTACCTTTGTACTTTCAGGTCACAAAAAGAGTGTCGAACACCGTCGCGGGACTCCATCTCTTCCCCGCAGTCGCCGGTAATGCTATTGGCGGTATCATGGCTGGATATCTGATCAAGAAGTAAGTTAAAAACACGCCCGGAAACACTCTGTCACTGACTTTCGAAGAACGGGTCGCTACAAGTATCTTCTTGTTCTTGCGACACTTGCGTCATCACTATCATACGTTCTCCTTCTTCTCCGATGGCATGGCGACACGAACGTCTGGGAGTCATTGTACATCTTGCCTGGAGGACTAGGCGCAGGTCTGGTGCAGTCAGCTGGTTTCATTGCCGCACAAGCCGGAGTCAACCCGAAGCACAAGGCCGCCATCACTTCGGGCATATTCTTGACTGTCCAGATCGGCATGATCATCGGGCTTTCTAGCGTCAGCGCTGTTATGATGGAAACTATGAGATGGAGGCTGGAGGAGCTGTTGAAGGGGATGGGTCTGGATGCGCTTGTGCGCAAGACGGTAGGCCACTGACTTCTCGCCCCCTACGACGCAAGTCGATTTCTGATCTTTCCTCGCAGATTATCCAGAAGGCGACCTCGAATGTCGATTTCATTGACCGCACTGACAGCCACATCGCACAAGCCGTTGTGCAAGCGTACGTTGAAGGGCTGGGGTGGAGCCATGGCTTCTCACTCATATCTTCCGCATTAGCGTTTGTTGGGGCCATGTTCTTGCAAGAGCATCAGATTTAAACACTAAACAACTAGTAGAGGCATCGGGATACATGGGAAAGGATCATTGCAAGGGTTTTCACTCATACTTAGAGGAAGGTTTTGCATGTATCGTAACTGACGGCGACCATTGAACTCATGTAGTAAAATTTCGAACCAGCTAACAGCATGGGATGTTTCAAGATAGAAATTGGAGTAATTGAACTTTCCAGGACGCGGATTATCTTTCACAACCTTCTTGCCTGCAACTCGACGGCCACGGTAATAAAGTCATCGTTGGCAATGGAACGAGAAGATCTGGGTTGTCCCGCATAGCCCCTGTTCAAAGCCCCCAAAGCAATAAAAAGTGCCAATCAATAGAAAGAGAGGATGATGTTTGATGACGTTGGAGAGTAGGATCTGTTCGTAGGATGGATGTTGCCAGCCCCTGATATGTTGGGTACAGTGTCACACTGTACCACACGTGCCCACCGGTGTGCCTCGGTGAGAGTCGCGAGTCGAGCTTGCCCGACGCGGCCTCACCACACGTCGATCCACACAATGACCACAAAACCAGTAATCTGAGAGAACACCCAACAGCTTGAACGTCTTAAAGCTCCAGTGCCACGAAAACCTGATCAGCCTCTGTGTTGCTCCGGACCCGTCTCCGCGGCTGCAGCCTATTGAGCGGCGAACCCCGCTTCAGTTGTGACGACTCAAACCTCCTCGCTTTCGGCATCATGGCAGCGTACTGCGAAATTCCCTCTCATGTTCCTGCGCATGGCTAACACATGTTCAGGTCATTTTATGACGATAATTCACAGACGTGGGTTCGCATATCTCTCGATATGGCCAACATGATTAAGAGAGTTATGATGTATGACGGCGGAGACGTCGAACGCATCCAGGTCCGCATTCCCGCACACCCTGACAGCTCTGATGCAACAATGCCACTGTCCCGCTTGGAGCTCCCGGAGCCTTGTATGAACTGCCGCTCTCCATATCACTGGACCCAGGATTGCCAGGATGCCTGTGGCCACTGCGGCCAGCCCTGGCACGCCTCTTACGACTGCGAGAGCATACCGCGCAACCGCTGCAAATGTCGCCCCTACCCGCAACGGCATCTTGTCAAGAAATGCGAGGTTTTTTGCACAAAAGAGTGCCCAAAGACTGAGAAGGACGAGCCAGGGAGTGAATATCACCGGAATGCGATCATGTGCAAGGCCCGGTGTTGCATGTGTGGTCTCCTCGGCCATGCAGGGCGCGACTGTCATCTGAAGGAATGTCGCTGCGGTCGCGATCACTTGACAATCTCTCACGACCCCGAGAAGAGGAAGTGCGTGGTGGAAGATTGCCCGCGCTGGTTTTGCACCAAGCATTGCCAGAAGCCGGAGTGTAGGGTGGAACTGAAGTCGTTGAGAGCAGAGACGTGCCATTCTTGCGGTGCAGACCAGGAAAAGATATTCTCGGACAGAGATCCTAGCTGGTAGGAGAGGCTGGATTTGGGATACCCAGCATGTATAGGAAGCTGCAGCAGTAATGCAAGACCGAACGCATCCCGTCATTCTACCAGGATGCGGCGTCAGGGGTACGGCAAGCTGAGATGACACGCTGCGATATCGCGATAGGATGGCCGATGGACACAGTTGAGTAGGTGTTGTCACTTCCCGAGCATCTTTGGGGCACAAGTCGTCATCGAGATCTTTGTTTCTAGCCACGAGCATTGCATGACTCTAGCAATTACATCGAAAGTTTCTGGCTCCTCCAACCTGGGGAGGCCCTCAAACGGCCAAGCAAAGGCGAAAAACTCCTGCCAACAAGGGCGCAAATATGCCATAGGTGGTATCACGCGTCATGTCATTCCTGAACTCCACGCCGTCAGTCGAACCCTGATATGAGTATGTGTAGCAAAACGCCTCCAAAAACCAGTCCCAAAAGCACACTTAATCATCCATCCAGCAACCGTCGTCACCATCAATCTCAATCTTGGTGCCAAGTGCTTCTCGGCCCTGGCGAATCATCTCTTTCAGTCTTTGGTTGAAATCATCAATCCGTGCATCGGAATCCTGCTCGTCCCTGACCCTCCTGGTTGCCAACTTCTTGGCCTCGGTAGTGAGACGAGGGCTCTCGCGGATCGAGTCGACGCCAAAATCTTTCGACTTTCGTCGTGAATGTGCTGCCGATGCATTGCTGCGCGAGCGGCGATGCGAGTGAGTATAAGGGCTGGTGCTGGATTGTACAGGAGAAGGAATGGCGCTCTGGCGCAAGTTTGGGTTGCTCGGTCTCGCGAACGGATTGGGCCCCAACCCAGCGGGCTGGACAGGCAGAGGAATCCGACTCGGCGATGGACCAGTAAACTGCGAGGGTGTCTCGGGTGACCAGACACCGGCAAAGCTGGCAGGCTGTTGGGGTGACAGCGCCGCAGTTCCAGCGTGCGAGATGTTGCTGTGACTGGTGGTTGGCCTGCGCTGGGCCGTCGGTGTGGAGCTGAGGCGTGGCTTGGGGACGCTGATTCTGCGCCCAGTCACCATTGACGGCCGGCTGTTTCGCGAGACCGGACGCGAGGCCGGCCGGGGAAGTGCTCGTCTGCTAGCCGCCGCCTGCTCATCCACCACAACCCAGTTGCGAAGCTCATCATGGTTTCCGGCGCTGGTTTGTCTGCGCTTCACCGCCGGACGCGACGGTGTACTCTCGGACGGAAGGGTTTCTTGGAATTGGTACGCGAAGGGGTTGGTGCTCATGAAGCCAGGCGTTGGGTAGCCGCCTGGCGGTGTTGTGTCAACCACAGGGGCACTCGGTCTGGGGCTCTCTAGCCCGAAATCGGCTGTCTTCTCGGATAGCTGGGGTTGAGGCTGTTGTCCAAGTTCAGATTTGGGCTCAGCCTCGACCTCAGGCTCTGGTAAGGTTTCCAGGCTCTGGCCGTCAATGGTGTAAGCCTTGCCACCTCCTGCGGAGAAGCCTCTAAAGGCACCAGTCCTGCAGAATTCCCATACCTTGCCAACGACGCCACCAATAGTATTGAAAGCAAAGCGACTCCAGCCTTCAACGACAGGCTGAGGTTGAACAAGTACCGTTGGCTGGTTGGATACTGGGGACTCTATTTCTTCGTGCGGACGTTTTGATCCAAGTTTGCTTCGGTAATCGGCGTCCGAGTACAAGCTCTCGTCCAGCGCACCATTCTCGAAGGGAGGATTGGCAACAACGCCTGGGGTCTCGAGCTGACCAGCAAGAGTATAACGAGCTTCGTGGTTCGCCTGGGGAGTGTCGTATTTTGGAGGTAAATCGCCGGAGCTGTCGAGGTTCATGTTTCCGTCGCACCACTCGTGTAGGGGGGTAGCTTCACGAGACACATCGTTTCGGCGTTTTCGAATGCGCTGGGCGTGAGGGGTCGCAGCTTCGGATTGGTAGCTACCGGAGGACCTTGCGAGGTAGAGGGAAGAGCTCGCGGAGGGAGAGGAGGGGGTGCGAAAGACGCCGGGATGAACGCCGCCGGGCTGCGTGTCGAAATAGGTGCCGGGCATGCGATACTCGAAGGCCATGTTGAGACGGAGTACCTTGCTATTTGGCGAAGCAAGGGAAACAAGGGGTTCGATGTCGGAGGAGGGCGTCGAGGGGTCTGCGACAAAATAGGGTCGAGGGAGAGTTCGGTCTTGGTGTAGATGGGTTGCTCGAATGGTGATTCACGCTGTCGCCCAGGTCAGAGGGAGAAGGTCATGATCGATCAAGGTGGATGTGCCGGGTGTGTGTTCGCGGTGGACGTTCTTCGTCGCTGGTCGCGCGACAGGCCGTGCAGTCGGTGATGTGCGCGGACAGGCGCTGTCAGACTAGAGGGTGACAGGCGACGGAGGTGAACGGATTTCCGTGTTGACGAGGCGCGTGACGACAGGATTTACCGTCGGGTAGCTGACAGGCGGATTGGAGAACTGCGGCGTAAGGTAGTCGATTATGATTACTGCGTGAGGTAGGATTCGGGGTAAGGTATGGTATGGCAGATAGCAGGGAGCAGCTATCGGCAACCAACAAGCTTCGACCTGGTTGTGGTGGTGTGTCCTGCTGCCTGTGCTCCAACTTTTCCAAGCTTCCCAGTGCCGGGAGGCCCCGTTGGTGTTAGCGGTGTCGCTGTCGCAATCTGGTTGGCCAAACGGCCGATGATGCGCAAAGTGATCAACACGCGGGACGAAGAAGAGGAGCGTTTTTTTTTTTTTTTTTTTTTTTCGGGGNAAAAGAGGGGGGTTTTTTTTTTTTTTTTTTTTTTCCGGAGCAGCAGCGTGGCCGTGGCGTTCTGGGGTGACGTCGAGTCCGTTATGCGCCAGGAACAGGAACGCAAGGGGGAAAAGGTGATGCTAACGATAGATTTGGTGAGTGAAAAGAAAGAACAAAATTGCGCCGGTGGGAAAGTGAAGAGGGGAGTTCAAAGACAGAACAGAGTTCGTCGGATTTCCGCGCAACTCTAAAAATGGGAGGTCGGAGGTTGGTGGCCGGCAAGGTTGAAAAGATGGATGTCGAGATTCTCCTCCAAGAAGACCCAGCTGCACGCGCCAGGGGAAAGGAAAAGGGAAAGTCGCGTCCCGTCAGGTCCCCGTCGTGTCATTCGCAAACCCCCGTAAAGTAGAATGAATCCACTGTATTTGCCTTTCCGCACCACCCGTGGGCCGTGGCATCACCTTGACACTGCCAGCATCGCACCGGCAGTCCGTCAGTCGATGTCAACATTTTTTTTTTTACTTATTTTTTATTCTTTTTTATCCTATCGCAGGCCCGGCCGTTCAGGGTCTTCCGGCGCCTCCTAAATTCAGTGCCCCGAGCGGAGGAGGCAGTGGAAACGCCCGTCCACATCAGGCAAGGCGTGTCTCGGTTGCTGGGGTACTCGCCCGGGGCCCATGCGCAAAGGCCCTCCGTAGCGTGTAAATAGAGGGACACAAACAACCACACCGCCTCCCCAATCTCGCCAGTTTGGCCAGACCTAGGTAGGTCTGCCTGCCAGCTGCTCCCTGTTGTCATGCATAAGGTACAGTACATAGTGCTCCAGCTTTTGATGTTGAGCTGCTCACATGGTCATTGATGACTTCTGCCTTCGTCTATGGATATCCCCTCCAAGCGCCTGTTCCCATCCCCGATTCCGACGCGAACCATGCAATGCAAGTATGATCATCATGATGCGTGAAGCGAAAGCGACCACGACTACGGATACCACTCACGTCGCACGACATCCATCCCTCCAACGTGATCGCAGTCGTGTCACCCGTTAACCACCCTCTGCTGTCCAGCCCAAAAAAAATAGCGCCAAGGGGGAATCATTCTATCCCATCCATCCGTCATTTAAATTCCATGCTGCCCCCACTGCTGTCACAAGCCACAACCCCCAAGCCTCAAGTGCCGGCTTATTCACGCTTGTAGTAATCGTCCTGCTGCTGTCGCGTATCGACCTTGACTCCCCCGTCGACGCCAGACTCGCCGTGGACATGGTCCTTGGCGCCCCAGAACTGCTCCCGCTCCTTGAGCAGCTCATCCGCCCACTCCTTGGTCTCCGGCAGGGAGAACTTGGTGGCGACGTAGGCGAATTCTCCGAGGTCGAGCTTGCCCTGGCCGCGCTTCTCGTATTCCATCATTTGGAGGAGCAGTTCCATCTTGTCGAGGTCGTGCACGAAGTGGCTGTTGAGCGTCTTGGAGTCCTCGTACTCCTGCCAGATCTCACGCATCTCGATACCAGTCAAGCCACCGTTGAAGGTGCCCAGCAGGTTCTTGGTGATGTAGTCCATCGTCTCGGCCTCGCGTCTGTTCTTCTCGGGCTTGGGGACGCCGTCGACGGGTGTGATGTCGCCGACCAGGGACTCTGCCATGTCGTGGATGAGGCACATTTTCATGCAGCGCGCGAGATCGATGCGGGGGGCAAGCGCCGGCGGGCAGCACATAGAAAGGAGGGACATGCGATACATGTGGTCGGCAATGGACTCTCCTCTGCACAAACGATGGTCAGCTTGGAATAGACGATACAGAGACACAGGGGGATGATGCGAACCTCGCGATGCCGAATCGACGCCAACCCTCTCGCTTCGTGGTCTTGAGACGCTCGAGCATGTGGAAGTATGCCAGCGGCGAGCCCGAGTTCGTGGGAGCCGAGGTACCGGGCGAGGCCTTCAATGCCTTTTCGACCGTCCAGGTTCCCTCAACCTTTGGTGTCTCGACATGGCCGAGATCTAGCAGAGGTTAGTAGAGGCTCACAAAGCGAGGGATTGCGGTTGTTGATGCACTCTTGATGTCTACGGCGCCGTTGTTGTTCGAGGTGCCGTTGGCACTGTTGGCGCCATTGTACTCGCCGTTGATGTTCGTCGGGGACATGGTGTACGATCGGTGGAATCGCAAGACAGAGGGGGATGTGCCGGGTGAAGGGTTTTCTCGTTGTCGCAAGGCGGGGTGAACCGACGCGGGGCTGGTTGGTGGCGCGAAGACTGTTGCAAATAGTTGCGGGCGTGTTGATGGGCAAGATTGTACGATCAAGCCAGCAGAGGAAGAGAGGAGGTGAGGTCAAGTACAGAAAAACAAAGGCGGGAAGGAAAAGGGTCGTTGGTGTTTGCGCTTGGGTTGTTGTCGATCAAAGGAGGGAGCATCCCAGCTTGATGTCACCGCCGCCTTCCCTTCCTTCCAGCAGGTTGTGACTGCAGTGAGTGGAATGCGCTACCAAGGGCACCCACCAGTACCCCCCCCTACCGCCAATCACAGCCGCACCGGCCCTCCACTGCGCGCGGGCCCGACCGAAGAATGCAGCCCATCTCGCCCCAACTGGCCAATCACGGCAGCTAGATTTGCGATGGTCAACCATCTGTTTGTTTGTCTCGATGTGACGGTGAACGTGACAATAGCAAACACAATAGGGATGATGATGGTCATGACGATAGGAGCAACGTCAAGCTGCGATGATTAAACTTCTTCCTTAATAGGTATTCATTCGTATACCGTGCAGGAGAGTTGTGCAGCTGGAAAGAAATCAGTCTGCACCATTGAGGGAGAACACCTCCAACTCGCACTTACATACAGCACTGGGAACGAGCCCCCATTGGCTGCAACCGAGACATGCAAGATGCCCGCCCCTTGAACACCTTGAAGTATTAGTCCATCACTTCTGGCTCGGCTTCCTCATAGTCGCACCTCAAGGGCGAAGGCATTTTGCCCTCATCTTGACAATTCCAGGGGCCTGATGACAAGAACCGGAGCAGACAGCGTTGTCGCGGCTAAGCTGATTCCACCGGGCCCTCGCTTATCACGCACCTGCCGATGCACCCTTGAAATGGAAGTCTCCGGCTCGGAGCACCGACGGCAACATCACCAACTTCCCCGGTGCGGCCTCGGTCTCAACCACACCCGGGTAAACACACTGCCGGATCATGCCCCGCGTTAAGCGTCTTGATTTGCGGGGCCCCGGATTGTCAACCACCTCCCGAAATGCCCCACGACTCAAGACACCGTTATTTTGACTAAACTTCGCTCCGGTTTTCACCACCTCAAACATCCACCCTGCAACCAACAAGAGTCTTGGCGTCTTTTTCTCGCTGATAATCAAACATCGCGTCGCCAAAGGTCCATCTCGTCATGGCCACTCAAGCACCCAAGATCCCTTTCGCCGTCATCGGCGTGGGACTGATCGGACCGCGTCACGCCCAAACAGTCATACAGAGTCCCGACGCCGAACTGGTAGCTGTCGTCGATCCAGCGCCCGCCGGCAAACAGTTGGCTGCCAAGCTCAGTGTGCCTCATTATGCCACCGTCGATGACCTCCTGAGCTCTCGTCATATTCCCCAGGCTGCTATTATTTGCACCCCAAACCATACCCATGCCCTTGTCGCCATGCAGCTTTCTTCCAAAGGATTGCACCCTCTCATCGAGAAGCCCATCAGCTCTGATATTCAAAGCGGCACTGAGCTTTTGGAGCATCTGCGCACAACAGGCGTCAAGGCTCTCGTCGGACACCATCGACGATTCAACCCATACATCATTGCTGCCAAGAAGACGCTTGATTCGGGCTCCCTGGGCAAGATCATTGCTATCAATGGACTCTGGACGCTTTACAAACCGCGGGATTACTTTGAAGGTCCCACTGCATGGAGGCAGGGCAAAGATGGCGGCGTCATTCTCATCAACATGATTCACGAAGTCGATCTTCTTCATCACCTCTTCGGACCCATCACACGAGTTCACGGAGAACTGGCTGTCTCTGAGAGAGGCTACGAAGCCGAGGAAGGAGGTGCCCTCACTTTGAGATTCAAGTCCGGAGTCGTGGGTACCTTTCTCATCTCTGACAACGTTCCGTCGCCGTACAACTTCGAAGCCGGGACTGGCGAAAACCCTCTGATTCCGAAGACGGGCCAAAACTTCTACCACGTTTTCGGATCCCAAAGCTCTCTCAGCGTGCCGAACATGTCGCTGTGGTCTTACGAAGGTACCCAAAAGTCATGGCACTCCGAACTCAAGAAACAGGACGTTCCTGTTATTGACGGCGTTCCATTTGAGCTGCAGTTGGCCCACTTTTGTCACGTTATTCGCGGCGAAGAGGCCCCCAGCTGCTCCCCGCAAGCTGGCCTGGCTGCTTTGATTGTCTGCCAGGCTATTAAGGACGCACTGAAGTCGAATGGTACGGTGGACATTCCGAGCTACGAGCTGTAAAAGGATAGAGTCGTTCTTGGAACCGTCTGCGACGGGCAATATGTGGTGTGATGGAGAAAGTTCATCAACCTCTTGTGTCGCATACCTCTGCTACTATGAAAGTAGCCACGAATGATTATGATGTGTTTTTGCTGCCCATAATTGGGCTTCGCCGTGACTGACGCTGAACACTTTCCAATCAGGCTGAGCCCAGATGCCAGCCCATTGTACAAGATCATGTAGCTTAAGCTTACGAAAAACTGGTTCAATCTCTTGCAACCCAATTCACCCACTTGACTTACCATGTTCATGGCACACTTTAACATCTATCGTGCAATCAACTAGATCTGTCTGTTGCTCCGGAGATATATTTCATCGCTTCCAAGGCTACTGGTTCATGGTTTCTATGTCAATTCCGATACCATGGAACTCTGCCATGTTTCAAGAAACCCACAACTTGGTGCGATTCAAAACTGGTGCTTTACATGAGCCGCCAACGCCAAGTTGTGTGTGAGTTGAAATTCGAGCGAGAAATACCTCTTGAGTAAACAGACGAAGAAGGCCTTCCACTCTGAATTGAAGACAGCGAGCAAAAAGTCCCGAGAGACTTGAAGGCGAATACCGGAATGATTCTACCTTTGCTAAAGTCCCTGCTCTAGACTCTTCAACAGCTTGGCCTTGCGCTCGCCTCAACGGCTCTGAATCATACTTGGGCTCAGCTGTACTTGCGGGGACGGCTACTTAGCTTCTGCATCCTAGGTAAGTTAGGACCCTTGCCTATGTTACCTGCCAGCTACGCGAAGTTCGGACCAAATCTGACTTTGCTTTTCATGCGCACAAATCAAGCTTCGGCATCCAACTAAAATCCCGGCTAACAGCTGTAGGTAGCGAGCTCCGCAAACCAAGCGTTAACAAAGTCTCAGTACGAGCCCCACTGCACTACACCCCGAGAAATGAGTTGCAATCAAAAGTCTCAATACTCGGAGTCGTTAATGACGCACTTTGCCAGGTTGACCGGTTCAAGAGGTCGGATCTGTGAGGGGAAATTGTGGGTCTCTTGTAGGCCCGGACCTTGTTTGCACAACAGACCAGGGGTTCAATAGGATGATGAGATGAAGGATCACGCTGCTCGGGCCTCCAGGAATACCTCGCATTAGGAAAGAGGGGAAGAGGTGCTGATGGAACATGGTATAAGACGGACAATCATGTCGACATTGTTCTGGAGTGTTGGTCCCATTGTCTGAAGCGCTTGCTCCGGGTGTCTGTTTTGTCCCGCCTTCGTCGCTCACGATGTGGCTCTTCTCTGCCCTTTCATGGGCGTTGTTTCTCGGGTTGTCGGTTTGGGCAGATTCGGATTCAAATAATGGCAAAGTTCAGATCCCTGAGTTCTACAACTCAGCCCGCCATGCCGCGGCAGACCCCTACGTCCTCTATGATTGGGAGAGCGGGCAGTATTACGCCTACTCGACCGAAGGTGCTGACGATGGCTACCACTTTGCAATCTACGTCAGCCCTGACCTTTCGACCTGGCGCAAACACCCAGGCGGCGTCTTGAAGGCATGTTACGATGATCAGATGAAACAGATCGATGGTGGTCAGGCTTGCTGGGCCCGCGATTGGCAATGGGCTCCCGAAACATATTACAACGAAAAGACGGGATGGTACTTCTTTTTCTTCGCAGGGCGTTTGCGCGAAGACATGGCGAAAGACCACTTTCGCTACTCAAAATTTGAGGAACCATCGAAATTGGGAGTGGCCGTTTCGCGATCTCCTACAGGCCCGTTCAAAGAGATTCGGTCGGAGCCCATTGGTTACTATCCATTCGACCCCGACTACCATGACGTCAACCTCATCATGGACGAGAAGCAAATGCTGCCACCGAAGACCCAAGAGGAGGGCAAACAAGCCCCAAAGGGCACTTACATACCTACGATTGACCCAAACATCTTTTTTGACAAGGACGGCCGCATTTACTTGTACACCTCTCGCAACGCGTACCGCAATTGGAATTGGGATGACAAGCTTGGCAAGTACATCGAGGAGTCGAATATCATCGTCGTCGAAATGGACCGAGCCTGGTGGGACGATCCATTTGCGCGGACTATGCCAGATATTGCATCGTCAGAGGTTGATGTCCACGCCCGCGATGCGCCGGACTTGCCGAGCAATATCACTTCATATAATGGGACTGGCGAGATTGGGAACCCTCCGCGCAAAGATGGATGGAAAACAGTTATTTCGTATGGAGCCGACCCTCAAGAATGGGAGAATTTTCATGTCGATGATTACGAGAAGAACAACGGTACCAAGAAGGATCGAAGGTGGTCAGAGGGCAGTACAGTTATCAGGCGCACAAGAAAAGATGGCAAACCAACCTACCTTCTCACATACAGCGCAAACAACTACGAAGCCTCGAACTATGGCGTTGGTTTCGCAACGGCCGAGTCTCCGTTGGGCCCCTTCCGAAAGTCTGCCAAGAACCCTGTTCTATCACAGGCTCCGGATGCTGAGATTCCCATATACTCTACTGGGCACGGAAGCATTGTGGCATCGCCCCCTAAGAACGCCAGGAGCAGAGTTGGTGCTCAGGAGGTCACTCAAAGCACCCCCGAGGGAGCCGAGCTATTCTATGTGCATCATGCTCGCAACGATACAACGCGCGATCGATCGATATACACCACCCGAATGAGCCTGGACGACTCTTCGATCTACTTTGGTTCTGATAATGCCATAACCATGAGCCTGACGTCATTGGATCAGCCACTCCCTTTGAACACGTACCCGATTCAACTTGAAATAGGGTGTCCTCGGGGCAGAAACTTCGATTCACAATTCGAAGTGCGTGTTGTCTCGAAGGCTGGAGCTCCTTTTGACTTGACCGAAGACTCGAACAGAGTCGTTGCTCAACCGGAAACAATAGAAGCTTCCTCTATTGAGCCTGTCCGAGGAAGAGATGGAACATTTGTCCTCAAATTCGATAAAGGCTCTGTGCAAGAGCTGGCTTATCAGCGCTCTAGTGTCAAGGGAAACTGGACATTGGTTAACACCCAGAAGATTCGCTGCCGGATAAGCTCCCGTCAGTACAGTGTGTAATATGACGGAGGTTATGCCATGGATGTTGTATATACCAGAGTCGCCGCCGAAACACTAGGCCAGTGACAATGTGAATAGTTGGCAAATTAGAAGAGCAGTGCGATCTGGTGCGTGTTGGAGTAACTCTCACGGTCGCTTTAGATCAACATTAATAGTGTAGCCAGCCTGGGTGATCATGGAAGAATGTGCTTCTAGAGCTGTAGGTCGCTCTTGTTAAAAGTCCCAGGACTTTGACGTAATTAGTGCGTGTTTCTATTTCCAAAATGTTGGTAGTCATGCTGTGCCTGAGCTTCAACGTTGTTGTTAGCGCCCAGAAAGAATAAGTTGTGGTCAGTAGTAGAAAGAAGTCTAGCCAGGTTTTATGCGTCGTGCGCCATCAACCAAGTCGTCTGCGTGAAGAAGAAAGTTGAAAGTGGTTGATGAGCGGGGCAAACCCACAATTGAATATTGGTGGGACTCTTGTTTCCTCGAGGATAAGGCTTTGAGGCGAATATGTCTAACCTTGAGGTCTAGAATCTTGGTTTGATATCTTCAATTTGAGAAGTAATGGTCTGAAAGTGCTTTTCTTCTCATCAAGGGAAATATCACCACTGCATACCGGTCAACATATTAAGGTCCAATATCACTCAATCTGAGTGCCCTTTATTAAAGGTGTAATAAAGGTGGTTCTGGAAAGCATGCCGAGGCTCATTTATTGGTTCTATCTTCGAATGAGGAACCAATAAATGAGCCTCGGCATGCTTTCCGGAACCAAAAGAAATGGCTAGACCCTGGGCCGCGGAGGGCCGTATCGTGGTGATCATCCATGATCCGTGCCAAATGGGACGCGACGCGAACGGCGCGACACGTCCCTCCCTTAAAATGCCCACCGCCAGAAGCTACAGCCAGTGCCCACTATCCGCTTCATTTGATATACAACCCCGAGCCATCTGCACACTGAATCGTTGTATCGTCACTTCAGGACATTTTGCTGCCCGCAATCGATATACGCAACTATTTGAAATGATTCTACTCGGACTTATCGTCCCATGAGTCGCAGACACCCCTGAATAAGGTCGCGAAGTCTGCATCTTCTAAGCCCAAAACTACCGCGAAGGCTTCTGCGGCCAAAAAGCCTGCTGCTCAGAAGGCGAAAGCAAAGTCAGAAACTAAAACTTATGATGAAGTCATCAAGTTAATCGATAAGACTTATGCGAGATTCTTGAAGAAGTATAAGGCGAATGGCTCTTGGGTGAATCTTCCTTTGCTCTTTTTCTTCATCGCGACCAAGCCTAACTCCCGAAAATAGACAGCCAATGAGTTCTCTGCCGGGTTTGCCCGCTTTCTGTCAATGGAACAGGCTCTAAACGACGAGTCGCTTCCCTTAGCTTTCAACCTAATTCTCGACATTGGAGAGAATTCCTATGGCGACGTGGATTACGGCGCAAAGACGTGCGGCTACGGAGACACTGATGAGCCGTTCCAAGCCATGTGCAACGCGCTGTTAGAAATCATCGAGTCTCGCCTGGAAGACTGCACTGACAACGAGTGCAAAGATATGGCATTCGTTTTAAGCCCATCGACAGACGACATGGGGACCTCTCAGGATGAGCTGGGAGAGGCGTTGAAATCAAAAGGAATTCGGAACAAGTCTCAGTTTTTGATGAATGACAGGGCGAGGAGAGGAGATCAGCAACTTTTGATGACACGGCGGAGGACTCGTCGCATGGATACAGTTGACTGGGCCGGGAATGCGCTCAATGATCTGAGCGAAACTCGGCGGCGCATCGACAGCTGGGGCCTGGGCGAACATTATTTTGCGAAGAGCATTGCAAAGCTATCCTCTATCAAAGGCATTGACGCGCCGAGGTACAACGACAATCATCAGCCCTTGAGTATCTGAGGCTGAAAGGGGACGTCGGGGCCGTGTAAGAATGGAGCTTGCAGCATGTTTCCGCGATATGCATATTTGCTTGCATGTACGATTTGGCAGAATGAGAAAAATCGTCTTATTGGTTATTGGGATGAGAACTAACATTGAAGTGATGTTTGCCGATGATTCGATGAGACCATCTTGATAGACCACAGCAACTGCAGAAAGTCACTCGAGAAGGGATCTTGACTGGCTGCAAACCTTTGCCTTGCGGTAGGAACGGCGTCTTTTTCAAATTTCAGGATGATAGGAACTCCTCAATTATGGACTGCGTTCCTGTCTATTCGATGCCCAGTCTCCAGAAGCACTCGAAACCGGGCCTGGTGTGTGATTAGAGTTAAGATTCAAATGTAAGCTCGAGCCTGCAAACATATTCAACCTCGGAATGGGTCGTAATGCATCTTTATACAGATTGTTAACATTAGTGATATGAACATTCCAGGGCCTGGGAAATGGAAGATTTGGTCCAAAACACTCACCGTGAAACATCACGTATTGTGCGCCATTTCCCCTGAAAGCCTGATAGTGAAGCGAAAACAAATGATCACGATACGGCGAATGCGCTTATTTGTGCCGATGGAACAACGTAATTCAAGGAACAAAACCAGACTAAGAAAAGTGTCCCTTGAACTGCCACCGGATTCGCAAAGTTGGCGCAGTCCCACATGTATCAAAATTCGGCGAGGCCGGCCACGTAAGAATTAAACCAGGGGGTTCGTCTCACCTTAGTCTGACACATGTATCGACCCTCAGGTTGTACCCTAAATTTAGATGAACCTAGATTAAGCTTTCAATGCTCTAACAGGACTTCCGCATTCCGAATCCATCAGCCTTACTGTCAACTCGGACTTTCTCCAACAAGGTACGCCCAACCTGATAACAATGCCTCGGATGAGGCCGGTCGTAAGGCGCCTTGTCAGCTAACTGCATTCGGTTTCACTTGAATAGAATAAGACTCTTAACGCAACTCCCACCGGCCTTGTTACTGTAATCGAGTCAGGCACTCTTATCTTTCGGTGACAGCAAGATTCTAGCCCCATATTCTCATATAAAAGGAAGCCTCCTCCTAAATCAATGATAAGTGATTGCAGCATCTTCATCACGGATATATTCCAGCGAAAAGCTCAGCTATCAACTGTTCAATTATTGTATTCTTGCTCCTCTGCTCACCAAGGCGTCTGGTGTCCTTTCAAGGTATGTTCTATCTAAACAAATTAGGATGTTGCTGAACTAACACGGAATCAACACAGCAAGCGGGCATATCTCACAATAAAGCTCAAAATGAAGTTTCATGCATCTGTCGGTCTCCTGCTCTTGCAAGGTGCGAGTATTGTGGCTGGCCTCTGCACCTGTCTCGCGACTACGCAGAACGGCAGGGAAAATGACATCGAGGCTGGCAAAAGATGCTGCAAAGGGACAGGGGACAAGTTGTCAGGCAACCTCTGCAATGCTGCGAGTTTCGATGCATTCGCGAGCTGCTGTGCTAGTCAGAAAGGCTCTGAGTCTGTCACACCTTCAGGGTTCGACTGTACTCTGTGAGCGACGGATGACAAAATTCTGCTGGGATAACCTTCTCCTTTGAAACATCTTCGTAGCGTAGTGTTTAAAAATTACCACATGATCACTAAACATGTCCTCTGAAAGGAAGACTGGGCCGTGAAAATTGTTCATTTGAAAGGCTTTAGAGGCTTCACTGGGAAGCTTGGAGGTATAGTGATTTAGGCTAACAAGATCGAAGGGCGCATAGCATACAGAATCTAATGGCTGCATCTTTTTAGCCGGACAGCTGTGACATTCCGGAGCGAAAAAGCAAGTTTGCCTGTGCTTGACGTGACGAGTTTGCTAACACGGCTCCAATGGTGAGGTCATAGCCCTGTCTGCGGTATTGTCTGGACAACAACAGAGCAGTAACGGTATCTCCCCCACACTCAAAAATGGCCGCACGATCCTCCTTGATTTCCAAACCAACTGCTTTCCACACTTCCAGCACCACAAGACGCACCTCCTCGGGAGTCTCGTCTATGAATTCCTGATTCACACAAGCTTGTTCGTCAGAGGAAGCTGCCAGCAACGGAATTTTGGAGACCTGACCCCTGAATCCATGGGAAGCCTTGGATATCCACGGGCTGATGTCACGGGGCTTGCTTTTCAGCAAGTCCTCAACCTGCCCGGCAAAACCCTTCACTTTTTCCTCATCGAAAGCCGCGCTTGAAAAGTTGAAGCCTACGACAAGCTGTTCATCAGTTGGACGCACAATCGTCCACAAGGCCGAAGATCGTGACGGAGGACTACCAGCAGGAGGCATCATACGAGCTGTGATCGAGTCTCCTAGGTCGAGCTCCTCATGCCCCAAGACCGTAGGACTTTGGAAATTCACGACTGATCCAAACACGCTGTTCAAAGGCCAGTCCGTACAGTCCTTCTGGATTGTCTGGTAACTGAGATAGGCGAATGAGGCAGCGGCCAGGGACTGTTCCTGTAACTGCGCAGCCAGCGCGATAAACGTCATGTTTGGCTCGAAGTGAGCTCTTACGGGGTTGGTGTTCATGCACGGACCGCGGACGGTTTCCTGGTCTATACTAGCCGACAAAGATGGGTTGTAACGGTTGGCAAGGACTTCGGCGAAGACGACGTCTTGCGTGCCTGCCTCGCGGCCCATGACCAGGGCCCAGGCGGCTTTGAAGAGGTTCGCTGTTGTTAGGCCGGGAACTGCAAGAATTGGGAGCGGGACACGGAGCTCAACTTGCTTCAGGGTCCTAGGCGTCTGCCGCGGTGGCACGAGGTAGGTTAGCTGAGATCCTTTTAGAGTCGCCCGCCAGAAGGTTTTCGCTTCCAAGTGATCCAGCTGAGTGAGCCGGCGTGCCCATTCTAGGAACGATGTCCCGCGAGAGAGCTCTCGCCCGGCGTACCCAGCGGCGACATCGTTCCACATTATTCTAAGCAGCGCCCACCCTAAGGCAATTAATTAAGTTTAAGGCTTAAACTTAACTTAATTACTATAATATAATATTATACTTAATTAATTACTAATTAATTATAAGTAATTACTAAGTGAAGTTATTTAGATCTATTAAGTAGTGAAATTATACCCCTCTTATACTATTATTTTATATATTATAGTATTTCTAGTTTTTCTACCTTTATTACTAACCTCTATAAAGTCTAAGTAAGAGATATAGTACTAAATACCCTCTTATAATTAGATAATTATAAAGGTATTACTAATATACTTAATACTAGCCTATTTAGGTAAAGATATTCTTCTTTATAAATAAATTACTAATTAATAGAATTATAGTTTATTTATCTTTATAAACTTAAATATTTCTCTAATTTATTTAGTTCTTTATTATTATTTTCTCCTTTAAATATAATAACTTCTATTTAAACCTATTACTTAAAGTTATTTAGATTATAAGGTTTTAGGTATTAGTCTATATTTCTTATACTTTCCTATTCTTTAGAAGGATATTATTAATTAAAATATCTCTTTAAAGCTAACTTAATATTAAATACTTATTCTTATTAATAAGGGGATTACTAGTTCTTTTTTAAGTATTTGTATTAAACCTAAAATATATTATAACCTATAAGTAAGGATAATAGTTAGTTAACCTACCTTAAGTATTAAGTAGCTAAGATAGGATATTTATACTATAAAATTATAGAAATAATAAGGACTTACTTAGAAATAGAAGAACTATAGTATAAGTTATATAATAATAAGATAAAACTAAGTAGATAGTATAAATTACTAAGTACTTAGTAAGGACTACTAAATACTTACTAGTAATTACTAAATACTTATTAATACTTAGTTAGGAATTAGTAGCTAAATAAAGGAACTATTTAAGACTTATATATAATATAACCTTAAGCTTAACTTTTAGTTAGACTCTTATAGCTCTTTAGTAATTAACTTAGTATTTATCCTTATAGATATATTATAACCTATTATATATAGATAATAATTAACTAACCTACTTAGGTAATAAGTAACTAGGATAAGATATTTATACTATAGGATTATAGGAATAGTAGAAACTCACTTAGAAAATAGAAGAACTATAGTTTAGGTTATATAATAATAAGATAAAGACTAAGTAGATAGTATAGATTACTAAGTACTTAGTAAGGATTACTAAGTACTTACTAGTAATTACTAAGTACTTACTAGTAATTACTAAGTACTTACTAATACTTAGTTAGGAATTAGTAAACTAAATAAAAAAACTATTTAAGATTTATATATAGTATAACCTTAAGCTTAGCTTATAGTTAGACTCCTATAGCTCTTTAGTAATTAACTTTATACTTATCCTTATAGATACTCTTAACTTACCTTCACTATAAATTACTTATTAAGTTTAAAACTAATTACCTTAGCTTCTAAAGACTTAATCTACTATAGCTTATAACTTATAACTTAGTATACTATTATAATATATTAATCTCTAGCTTCTATCAGTAAACCTTACTATTAAATAGCTAACTATAATATTTTAATTACTCCTATTTAGTAAGTTAACTATTAATACCTACTAATAGTAAAATAATAAGTATATCTTTATATACTTCTACTAAGTTATTTACTCTAGAAACCTCCTCCTCTTTATAGTAACTAGTCTAAAACTTAGTTAAAGAACTTAAAAGAGCCCCTATAGTAATAAACTTTAATAATAAAGTAATTTTAAAGAAAGATATTTATAAACACTTTTAAACTAAAATTAAGAAAGGAGATAATAATATTACTAAAGTCTAAACTATATATAATAATACTATTATAAAACTTTAAAATCTTAAAGAAATAATATAATAACTAAGAAATAGCCCTTAATATATTATAGACCTAGAAAATAAAGTTATCTAACTTAGAGAATAAAATAGTAATACTAATATTAAAAAACTCTAAAAAGAAATCTATACCTTATATATAGCTATTAATATTATTATAACCCCTATTAAAGGAT